ATTTATATTTATAATACCATTTACCATTGTAAAGAACGAGTTAAGAGGCCGAATAGCTAAAATATAACAATGGGAAACGAAACATTAATATAAATGATAAATTCATGCTACGTGTTAAGTTAATTATAACCATTTAAGGAAAACTTGTTGAAGAGGTAAGCTGCAATAATGAAGACAATACGATATCTTGATCAAATCATATAAGTAGGCATTCTCACTATAACTTTTTCGTATATAAGCAGAGTTTTAAGATTACCAGTAACTCATTTATGAGATGTATTCACACTATTTCGTTTAAGTTGATGAAGAACTGGCAATCGAATTTTCCCGCCCTTGGGTCACAGGGAATATGTGAATTTCAAGGAATTCCTGGCCTTTTCCTATATCACATTTTTTGTTTTGATTGTCGATGAAGCAAACGTATTTTTGCTATAACAATCGACTACATTATTTGTATATATATATATAAGCAGAGTTTACAGACTACCAGTAAATAAATGCAGGAGTATGGGAATCAGCAGTATTCTTCTGGCCACGAATATGTTACTCATGCATTTTCATACGAAATGAAAGTTCCCACAACAAATATGATTTAAATTTTCATTAATTCTTAGTATTGCAATAAATTAACGTATAGTTCCCAATTGTTGAATAGTGCTTGCCATTGGTAGCAACATAAAATATCGCACTTTCGTACATTAATAACATCGTGTTTAGTCCAAATTGTGTAGTATTCCCTGAGTAATAGAGTGTGAATATTTGAATATAAACATTTTCAGTTGGAATCTCTACTTAATGCCAAATCACGCCTTAAATAATAAAAATTTACTAGATTCAAAAAGCTTAAATTTTATATTTAGGAAGTTGTACAATATTGTCATACGGTACGTCGCATTCTTTAAGTGATTCCTGCCCATACCCGTTATTCGACTGTGCCCGTCGCTGGACTTTTCAGTCCCCATGACGGTATGTTCCTATTTATTATTTCCCTAGGCCGTGACTACACCGGTAACTTCCTGTCTTATATCTGCTGTTGAGGAGCTACAGCTTAAAGCTTTATTCGGGGCGAAGGTAACAGCCTTGGGGATCACTGTCGCCAGGCTCTATGAACCGAGTACCTCAAATCACTGGTCTAAAAAACATTTTGGCGTTATCTGTTTTGAAAGAGATGGATCTAAAAAAGCTTTTTATATACGACTTTATAGTCTCCAGGCAAGTCATATTTAACTTATGTCCAGCAAAACCGGTTACTCTTTCAGCAGGAACTCTATGATGAAATGGAGTATACTCGTCCCTTAGACCAATTTCACGTTATGCATGGGGACTCTGGCCCGATCGGCCTGTCATTTGCCGACAGGTCTGAAGCAGACCGATTTGGTTGTATGGTCATCGAAAGACTTTCGCGACAGCGGACCCCCCGATCTCACACTATCTCAACCAATAAGATAGTGACTAACATTGGCAACAAGTCGACTAATCTTATAACTGGTCCTTCTGATATCTGTATTCCTACAAAGGATAAAGCATATTCCAAAAGATCTAATAAAACCCAAAAGGCAAGTGTTATTCATGGTTGCAAGCCCCATAAGCTACTTTAATACCTCAGCCTACCTTATACCTACCTTCGTAGCTATACTATATTATAAATGCGAATTTTATTCATTTTACACCTGCAATTATATTATTTTCCTACACATTTTAGCATATTAGATTAGGCCTGATTTCGTCCCTTGCATAATTCTCCTCAATCTTCCGTTTCATTTAACTCTTAAGCTCTTAGGTCATGTTATATCAGAATCTAATAAGGTAAGTCCCCTTGCCATGATTTTATGTTGGCATGAGTCCTTAATGAGTTATGTGCTTCACACAATCTCGCTGTCTGATCCGTTTCTTTTTAGCCATCAATAATTGTTTTAAAAATATAATAGGATCACTTTGTATTAAAGTTCAAAACCTATTAAAATATTTTAGCATATAATTTGGAGGAACATCAGTTTTAATCATCGTTAACTATTTTATTTTGTCTTGATTATGCCTTTATAGCAATCCACATGATTTCCAATATTTCTTGTAAGCACTCGAGTAAGCTCCCTTCTTTTACTACCGGAAAGTTCCTCAACTATCTTTTTACGATACTTAAATAGAACATTTCCAATACGAACTACTTGTGGCTAGTGATAATGAAGCCTCTTACCACGTTGGCTACCTCAAAGTCCGGGTGGTGTCCTTTTTTACGGTGAACTTGTAAAATTTTACAATAGTATATCACTTTACTGCTAGTTTCTTAGGATATGTGCAAATTCATCACAATTTTTTTGATTATATATAACTCAAGTTAGTTAAATACATCAAAATCTATAAATTCCCTATAACGACACCCACATACTCGTGGACGCTTTCCACAAAGATTTCACGTGCAGTATTTAAATGTTTTATAGCCATCATTCTGAGCAGATATTATGTAAAATGTAAGGATAATTTTTCCGTACATTTAGTTTCATCAAATATACTTCATGAGCTTTAAATACAAGCTACTCGACTTACCGCCACAAAATTGTTGCTCGGATTGTGCACATTCTCCCTCGGCTTGCCGTTCTTAAGCATGATATCTGCCTGTACTCCCTAAACGTTTCATATTTCCAGTGAATATTTTTAAACCATTTAATTAACATCGGACCAGCCTCACAAATACACCTTACTAGGATTGCGTTATAGGTGCATTAACCACAAAAAAGGAACTTTTAATCACAATTAATTTAGTGCCCAACCAAGTTTGTCAAAGTCCGCTTATTTTTAGCCTACCTGTCTTCGTGATTCAGGAATATTGTATTTGCTAAACATCAAATATGATAAATTTTCAAAATGTATTTACTTATCCAGTTGTTTTCAAAGCCCACTCAGTTATTGTTAATTGTATACTTGGATTTTATTGTTAACATCTCGATTTTAGTATTTTACCTGTTTCAATTGAGTTTAAAATTCAATAATTATGCTCATGCTTACCG